TGTTACAACCAGATTCCTCCTTTGTGTTGATAATTCCACTTTCATTAAGTTCTCTGGCTGCATATCTTGGGTCTCTAGAATGTTGGCAGTGTCACTATCCCCAGTGTCAGCCATCTTCTAATCACACCCAATTGACTTTCAGTGTTACTTCTTTTTCTTTGCTGCACTTTTACTTTGCAATTATCTACTTAAAAGAAAAAAAAGAAAAAAGAACCTGAGTTTACTAATGAGAGGCAAGGAGGCAACACAAATACACACACCGCTGTCTAAACAACTAAGCAAAATCATTAACCAGTAGATTGTGCTTAATGCTGGTTTTCATTTTTCCATTTTAATTAAATTGGAAGTTTTAACTTTTAACTAAATCTGTACATTGAGTTTTTAATTTTATAGGCATACCTTGTTTATTTTCAGTTCTATTAATTTCATTTTCTGAAATGCCAAGGGACCCAAATTCTGACAGATAGCTAAAGAACAAAATATCATGTTGGCCACATTATATAACTTTTAGGTAGAGGTTTGTCTGATTAGCAGGATAGAGTAACTATGTGAAAGCCAGGGAATGGGTACAAGTTCCCCCCCAAAATGATGATGATGGTGTTGTTATTATTTCACATCTGGCCACGGCACACTTTCTTTTCTGTCCTCTCTGCATTCAGGAAGGTATCACTATTATTATTATTATTATTTAAATCTTTACTGTTGACAGTATTACATAAGTCCTCCTTTTGCCCCCATTAACCTCTACCAGGCCAATCCCATTCCCCCTCCTCCAGGCCCTCACCACCCCATTGTCTGTGTCCACGGGTTTTGCATATATGTATACAAGTTCATTGGTTGATCTCTTCCCATCCACCCTCCCCTGCCTTCCCTCTGAGGTTCAATAGTCTGTTCATGACTCTTTTTACTCTACCCGGTCTTTCACTAAGGATGTAAAGATTATTTCAGGTATCTTGTATTTATATATAGTGTAAGGATGTCAATTTTTGATCCAGGCTTAATCTTCCACTCCCACATGGAAATTCTTTCTATCTATATGCTTCACAGTGCAGCCCCCATTTTCTGTTTCCACTGCATCTCTGGTGCTCACTGTGTGAATTGAGAAGGAAGAGCTGGCTATTTTCCCTACTTTCTTGGAAGGATAGCAAGACACTTAATAGTATCTTTGCTGCAATTTATTCAATATCCAGATGTTTTGCATCAACTTTTTCCAATCTCTAGAAGTAGAGGTCTGGTTGGTGTACAGAACTTTTTTTTATTACATATGCACATATTCCTTAAAAAATATAACATTGGTTTGCATATTGTTAAACTTCAAGTGAAAGGCAGCAAATTATGGTAATCTTTTACTAAGTATTTTATTTGTGCAGTCTAGTTATTTCTAATTCTATATAGTAACTATATGTGTATTTTATATTGTTTTCAAATTTTTCTTATTACAATACAAGAAGTGGAAATATTAGGGGACTGGTTATACTTATCAACTTTAATAGATTATTTCCAAATTGCTTTCTAAAATATTTTTATCAATTTACAGTCTATCAGCAATGTACATGTTTTAGTTGCTCCATATAATGGTTAGATTTGGTATCATCACCTTTTTTAATTTTAACCACACTCTTATATAAATTGGTATTTCATATGCTTTTAGTTTGCATTTCTCTGAACCTGTTAACTTTTTGCACCTTTTTATGCCATTTGGACTTCTTCTATAAATGAGCTATCCTTTTACTTGGTCCATTTGTCAACTGTATACTTATTTTGGTAATACTCTTTTATCTATTATAAGAACTGCAACACTTCTACTCACAAGTATGTCATAGGAATTTGTTTTGTTTCTCGTATGACAAAGCATAGAAAGTTTATTTTAGTCCACTGTATCAATCTTTTATTTTTGTTTGCTTCTATTTAAGACATTTTCTCATCCCTATAATTATAAGCATATCCTACTTTCTTGTAAAGGTTTGTGGTATTATTTTTCCACAATAAGTCTTACATGCACATGAAGATTTTTTTGTTTAGAGTACAGTTTTATTATTTATGTATAATCTATTTCAGAACAATATATTAGTTTATAATCCACTAACTATAATACCAATTTAGTTATATAGAATTAGGTTTTTCCAGCTAATTCTGAACTCTATTCTATTCCACTGTTCTGGCACCAAAATCATATTATGTATGATACTTTTTTTTTTAAAAGATCTTTATTCTTGTACCTTGGTTTTTATATAAATCTTAAAATTAGCTTGTTAAGTTCCATAAAAATGTCTACTAGTATTTGGATTTTTATTAAGATAATTCCCAATTCATATATTTGGATAATCATGCATATCCTATCACTCTCCACTTATTTGGGTTTTCTCTAACATACCAGAAGAAAATTTTATAATTTTCTCCATCTTACACCTCTAATTCATAGAATCACTAGAATTTTTGTAGATTTTCATTAGAAATATTTAAAATTTATTATTGATTATGGATAATAATCTTTTATCCAGCAACTTTACTGCACTCTATCAGCCTGTTCAGATTCTAGAAAATTATCCAATTAAATAACTGAGAATATGAGAATTTTATTTCTTCCATTTCTGATTTTAAAGGAAATGCCTCCACGTAGTTATCATTAAGCACTGCAACTGTATATAGCACTCAATGTAAGGGAGTTATTTAGCCCTAGTTTCTGTATTATTTTCTAAATCAACAATTGACATTGAATTTTACAGAGTATTTTTCTGTATCAAGATCTTCAATTTTACCCTAATTATGATGTGACTTTCTGAGTCAAAATCTTACTTTCCTGGGATGAATTTGGCTTGTTGACAATGTTTTTGACATTTTAAAGGATCTGCTTTGATAGCATCTTCAATTTTTTAAAAAAAAAATCTTCCTAATACATGTAAGCTTTTTTTTTTCTGCTGTATTGTCTGTAAATTTCTAAGTGTCTAGTATTTTTGTGTGTATATTTGAGTAAAGATGAGGAGTTGGCTTTTACGTTGTAGATGTATTGTTAAAAATACAAATTCCTTGTCATTTTTGATGAGTTACTTATTTTCGATTTTTCAACATTTTCAAACTCACTGCCTTAAAGTCCTCAATCTACTTTAACAATAGCTTGTCTTTTTTAAAATTAGTCCTTTCATTTACTAAGTGAAATTTCCTATTGCTTCAACAGAGCACTGGCAAGAACCAGCATTCTGCTTTTGCTTCTAGTGTTTCTCTATTTTTGTATGTGGCTGGACATATTTTCTCATCTCTAAAATGAATTTAATATTTTATTTACCTATCTAATGAGGCTCAAGCAATATATAATTGAAAAAGTTTTAAAAATGAAAAAGAAAAATCCACAGATTTACAGGTTTATCTGCAATATCTTTTTTTTTTTTTAATATATTTTATTGATTTTTTTACAGAGAGAAAGGGAGAGATAGAGCTAGAAATGTCGATGAGATAGAAACCAGCTGCCTCTTACAGACCCCCTACCAAGGATGTGCCCGCAACCAATGTACATGCCCTTGACCGGAATTGAACCCGGGACCTTTCAGTCCACAGACCGATGCTCTGCCACTGAGCCAAACCGGTTTCGGCTGCAATATCTTTTTAAATAAGTGCATCACTTGTAACAAATGTTTCCCTCCAAAGCGTCATGAGCATCTTTTGGGACCATGAATGAGAATCAGAGCTTGGGCCTCCCACAGCAGCATAACACTTCCAGTCTGATGCTCTCTCTAAAATGATATGAGAAGCAGCAATTCACTAACCATGACAATTATTTTAAAGATCAGTGTGAACGAAGTTTAATAAATTATAAATGTTGGGTTTTAACACATTAATATATCCTTCATTTCATAAAACACTTTAAAAATTAAAGATTTGAAAATACCTCAGATGGATCCTAATGGAAGGCAACATTACCAGCTTATTACTGTGTGCAAATAAAGCTCTTCCTGAACCCTTGAGCATAAGTAATTTCCTGTCTTTATTTTGTTAACATTAAGTTGCCATTAGATTCCTGATCTCATGCTAAGTGTGCTATTGCTAAAATGCAGTAGTGAGTGAAACGTAGGAACTTAAAAGGTATATAATGTTTTCTTCTTTTTAAGAAAAAAGTATTAGAAAACATGAAAAGGAATAATTTTAGAAGTCTTACCATGAATTTAGTAAGGCACTGAGGTCTTGCAAATAATTTATTTTAAAAAATAACTGGGTTAGTATTAAATATATTAATTCCGATCTAAACATACAAAAGTATTTGCTGTGACATTTGAATGTTGTGACTCAAAACCATGTTATATGTCCAGAAGGCTCCCTATTTTGAGACAATGTTCCCTCTTAACTCCTATAATAATTTTTACTATTCTAACAACATTATTTCCAATTTTGTTTCTTTAATGAACTATATTTAGCAATCAAGTGATTTTTATCAGTACTAAGTAGTAATTAATGTGCACAACTTGTGGGGAAGTACTCCAACTCTGGATTAGGATATGGAATAAAAAATTCTAAATTCTAAAAAAAAAGTGAAAAACAGGAAAAGTTGGGGTAAAATATAAAGTATTTGGAAAAAACTACCTTTACAAAGGGAAACCCATGTTTTTCTATGAATCACTTGACTTTTTAGAGCAAGGACATTAGCTTGAAGTGGTGGTGAAAGGTATATATTAAGGAACCTTGAGTTCCATTTAAATTGAACTATCTTTCACATTGGACTTCTGGTGATAGGTTGGACTTTATTTATTTTACCACATTCTTACCTCATATGAAAAAGGGCAGATTCTATATAGTTTGTTTCTTTCACTGGATGTTGCAGGAAGTAAATTTTCCAAACTAGATGGAAAAACAAAGTTAGACAGTGTTCTTCTATCTATACTGATAAAACTCCCAATCAGGAAAAAGTGATTAAGTTTCAACAGCAATTAAACATTTATTTTATCACCAATACCTGAAAAACATATAATTGTAAAGGATTAACATACAAAGGCCAAATAAAGTCATTTTTAAAAATTTTATTATTACTATTTACCAATGGGGAGATGCAATTTATTTACACCAGCAGCCATGGGGCAAGGGGAATACACAGCCATCTATATAGGATAAACTACTTTGCAAAAATAAGAATCTCCAAAACAAAGGACAGAGGTGAATTTCACTACACTTCCCCAATGATCCCAGCATGCGATAATGCCAGGTAATGGCCCCTGGGCATGCGGTGACAGGAAATAATGTATGGAAGAATAAGCCACAAACCACAGAAATTTTGTAAAGAACCCCTTCCCCCATACACACACACACACACACACTCACACACGCACACATACACATAAAGAATTACAGGGTGATCAATACATTTAATTGAAGAGGAAAGGATAAGAATTTTGCTGTTAGAGGGAAGATAGGCAAAGAAAGGGAGAGTTCCTAATCACTGTCAACTCTATGGTAGGGAGCATTATCTCCACCAAAATGAAAGTAGTTAGTTTGTTCTAGCCCACATCATACCCATCCCGGGCAGGGGGCTACTGCCCTAATAGTGGGGGGCAAAAAACAAAACCAAGTGAGAGATAATATGAACTTCCCACTTCATCCTCTAACCAGGAGAAAAGGCCGTAAGAAAATGGCAATGTCACAATCTGAGCTCCTCTCTGATGGAAGAGTGGACAATGGCATTACCTTTAGTCTGTTTCCCAGACATTATCTGGAAGTAGGCCAGAGTCTTACTTAAACCCTCCTTTACTTCTATTGTACATCTCCTTAGAAGATGTCTATAAAGTCAAGGGCAGAACACCTAAAATTATTTTAGCTCTTGCCAAAGTCTGACTTTTTAAAAAGTAATCTTAGTTCTTAAAGACCAATCTGTAAGTAGGTCCCTACCCTGACCAGGACAACTCTAGGGGGTAAATGCCGTAATCCACAATCTTGAGGCCCTATTACTATTGTTTCCTAAACCTTCTAGAGCATGTACCCCAAATCAGTTCACACAGGCCAAACAATTCATTCTAGAGTAAGAAAGGATACATGCATAGCCAGGGTTAGAGAAAATGGATCAGGACCCACTCCATCCACGTGTTTGTCTCTAGCCTTTACTCTTCTTCTGCTTATCCAAGTGGAAGTGGGAAGCTATAACTCCTCATCAAATAAGACACAGCAGGAAGGCATATTAATATTAGCAAGGCAGTCCTGGAGGAGACTGGGGAATCACATTGCCTTTCATATACAAACACTTACTTTTCCCCCCACCCTATTCCCAACAGAGGGAGCCATAGATTCTTCCGAGTCTCCCACAAAAACAAGGGGAAAAACTTAAAAGAAGCCATGGAAAATGAAACTGGTTAGGCTTCAGAACCAGGAGCATCAAGGAATGAACTGAATCTGGTCACTGAAATCAAGGTGGCAGGCAGCACCTGGAATCATGAGCTGCACCAGAGAGGCAGTGGAGCAGGGAAGAGGAGGAAGAGGGGCCAACCCGGACAGATGAGGCTGGGCCCCTTACTGGGGCACAGAATGAGGTAAGGAAACATTTCAAATAAAGCAGCACCTGCTCCCCTTGGGGCTCCCTCCCCTCTACACTTCATCACCCTCCGATCAGGGAATAAAGAGGAGGGTAGTTTTGATATGTGGCTCACACTTTCCATCTCCCCTTATCCCGTTCCCTAAAGCCAAGGAATTTCTGGGGGCCCTTTCCTTTCAACAAAAAACAGCTCCTGTATTCAAGGTCCAAAGAAGACCAACTGAAAAGGACTGCCCTTTGTGAGGGGCAGAGAAGGTGGTGACCACAGCAGAGCTCTGTAACTGCACACCCCAAGGAACAGGGGCATTCCACTGGATACTGCACAGGCCGATGGGAGAAAACCCAGCCCTGCTCCTTGGCTCCTAACGCTAACCCATTCACATTATTGAGGGCTGCTGGAAGAGGTCCACTCTGGGCTCAGCTTTCAAAGCACAGCCTCCTGCACAGCCATGATGCTCCTCCATAGTTTAGGCCTGCCCCTAGGGTAGAAGGCAGGTAGTGACCTAGCATAGTGACCAAGTCAAAACCATGGACTATGTAACCATAACGCAAGAGTAAGAAAATGACTGCCCCACCAAACTGTTGTCCACAGAATAACATATCCAGACATGAATCTTGCTGTTTGAGAGTTAGTCCATAGTTGCAGAGGTCCCTGCTACCTCCCCAAGGGACCATAACCAAATCCTCAACCTGCCTGTATAACCAAGTAGTCCATAAGCCTATGCCACCACGTGGGATGCCAGAGAGGAGAGAGGGCTCTCTTCAACAGAAGCCTAGCCCTTGTCCCCAAGTCCGTTGAAGTCACTGTAAATGCTGGACCCTTGGAAGTTGGTGACTTGATCTTTTCTTCTTATTGGAGAGAAGACCACAGAGTTCCCCCTATAAGATTCAGCTGGAATTCTTCTCTTTCTTCTCGGTTTTCCCAAATTGGAATTGCCAATATCCAGATCTCATTCTTGACTTTCCTTTTGTCTTGAAGAAGCGCAAAATAGAGGCTCAGAGATCAGAGGAGCAGTCCACCGAGGCCCAAAGATGAAGGCCTGGCCATCAGTTATGTCCAAAGTGTTAGTTATTGAAGAAGCCCTTGGCATCGGGCAAACCGAAAGGATGAGGAACCAAAGGATTTAGTATGCTGGGCACACAGCGGCTCACCTGTGCAGGGGGGGCGGGCAGTACAGGAACCTTGTGCCCTTTCTGGTGTGTTTAGAAATCAACCTTGCATTGCAATGGTGCAAGATGCACAGCTCCTCCTGCCCAGCGTTTCAAATCTGATCCCAGGTTAAAATATTTAGAAAAAAATCCGAATTTTTTAAATTCTCCACTTTGGGGTTTTAAAGGCTAGAATCTTCAATGGGAATTGGGACTTTTGTCTGACATTTTTTTTTCCTCCCTCTACTTAGCTACCTAACTTCTCCAGACCACAGGACCGGTCTATGTTCTTGTCCTGGTCACCCTCAGGCTCTCTCTCATGTTGCAGCTACTGGAATTCCGGAGGCGAGCGTTGCAGCGCCTGATCAGGCCCGCTCCCAGACTCTGCGGGGAGGGAGCGGAGCGGGAGGCGGCACGCTCCTTTCGCCCCTTTCTCCTCCACGGGCGGAAGGCCGAAATCCTTCACGCTGCCAGTGTCCGCGAACTCCAGGTAGAAGTAGCCACACTTGACTGCCCGGTGCACTTCAAAGCAGAAGCCCAAACACGAATCCTCTATCAGGTCTACGTATATCTCCTGCGCGATGGCCTCCAGCTTGCTAGTATCCAGGTTGGAGAGCGAGATCTCCTCCATTTTTAACGTGCACACACGGCCGCGGAGAGGGCGCTCGCAGCGGTACTCACAGCAGCGCGGGCGGCGGCAGCGCGTCGGGCTCGGCGGGCCGCGCCTGGGCCTACAGGCCGCTCAGGCCGAGCTCCGGGCGGCGGGCGGGGTGTCCGCGGCCGCAGGCAGGGGACCAGCAGTCGGCGAAGCAGCCGTCAGCGGCGACCGCCCCGGAGCAACCGAGTCCTGAGCGTCTCTGAACGTCCCCCGCGGCCTGGGGCTTGGAGCGCCAGCCGACCCCAGACTCACCGCCAAACAGCCTCCGCGCGACACCCAGCTGCCTGGGCCTCTTCCGCTCCGGGCTCCGCGGTTAGCCCCGCCTCCCCGCTTCCGCTCTAAGCGCGCCTGCGCACTGGCGCCGTGCAGACGCGCGGTGCGCCTGCGCAGTTGCTTGGAAGCCTAGGAGTTTGATTGATTGGGACAGACTGGAATGTTGTAGATTATGTTTAATCGTTAACAGATTACAGGGATGATGCTGTTTTTTGTTATTTAGGTGCGGATTTTTAAACAGCCGCTGATAACTCAGCACCCACGCTTAATTGAGTTCCTTATGAAAAAGGAAATAAAAATAATGGTGGGTGTATTTGTGGTGTGATCCGGAATAGTTTTAGGAGCAGTTCTCCAGTACGTTCGAAAACTTAGCTTGTTCAATTAACTTGTAATCTTGTAAGGGTACTGCGCAGTTGTCATTTAAATCCACTAGATGGTGCAAGGAAACAAATTACAGGATAGTTTATATCTCTTTTTTTTTTTTTAATGAAAAACAAGGCACTAAAGATATAATTAATATATATTGATCATAGGAACCTAAGACATTTATCTTATTTTATGATCATTAAGTCAATGTGATTATAAATAGATCACCATATACATCTCTAAAGTAATTCAAAAAGAAAATAGTTTCTATATTCTCTATTGAAGAGAGGAAACCTGAAATACGTTAAATATACTGTGCGACAAAAGAAGTTTCCTAAAATTGTGCATCATGAATTGTTAGAACTAGAGCCACTTCACTGGGTTTAAATTCAGTAGCCAACATTTTACAGTTCTTGTTTCCTCATCTAAATGAAGCTAGTCCCTATTTTATGATTAAGATTAAATGACATTTTAAAATACCTTTTATGATTGTTCCTTACATATAAGGCAGCATTCAGTAAATGGCAGCTATTTTAATCAGATTAGTTTGGACTTGAATATATTAAACCACAGTATTTTATTTTGAGCTGTGATTTTTAGCCCTCACTACCACCACTGTAAAATAGAACATCCTCTTACACCTTTAAATTTATTGGGGGGAAAAAAGATAACTTTAATCACAGGAAAAATAAATTTTAATGTATGTATTTGTATCTGTCTGATTCTTTAATTTCATTCCAGAATAAAGGAAAGTATAGACATGGACCCAGATACAAATAAAATTTTTCTAACATGTATGTTCATCAGAACACTCTTAAATAAATTTAGAATTTATTCTTTTAAATAATGTATTCTTTTATGATTCAGTAGATCTGGAGTAAGGCTTGGGTTTCTGCATTTATAATGTACTTTGATGCTGCTGGTTTGTGGACTACCTTTCAGTAACAAGGAATTAAAAGGGATTGAAATATGCAATTTGCTCTTCATAATGATTGACTCCCATGTATTTGTTCTGGCCAAATCATCATGAAAACCTTTACATAATTGTGTGTTGTTTTTTTAAGTATATTTTTTTATTGATTTCAGAGAGAAAGGGAGAGAGAGAGAGAGAGAGAGAGAAATATCAATGATGAGAGAGAATCATTGATTGGCTGTCTCATGCACACCCCACACTGGGCAGGTGCCCTGACCAAGAATTTAAGCATGACCTCCTGATTCATAGGAGGCTGATAATAATTGATTTTGACAGAAGAGAATAAGATTATTTTTCTCTCCCTTAAATCCTCTGTGTATTGTGAGAGTTGAAACTCAAAACTTTAATTTAATAAAGGTGGGTCTTCAATAAAATTCATTTCAAAATGTATATGAGCAGACCATCATATTAATTGAAATTTAGATAATCAGGACCATTACTAGGTTTAGATTTTTCATAAGTATTTTATTATATTTACTCTAATAACATAAACATTTTTATTGAACATACCGTGTTCATGGATTGGTAGAATCAACATCATCAAAACGTCCATATTACCTAAAGCAATCTATAAATTCTATGCACTTCCCATTAAAATATCAACAGCATATTTCACATACCTAGAACGAACTTTCCAAAAATTCATCTGGAATAAAAAAAGACCCTGAATAGCTACAGCAATCCTAAGAAAGAAGAACAAAGTTGGAGGGATCTCAATACCAGATATCAAGCTATATTACAATGCCACTGTTCTCACAACTGCCTGGTATTGGCACAAGAACAGACATATAGATCAATAGAACAGAATAGAGAATCCAGATGTCAACCCAAATCATTATGTTCAATTAATATTTGACAAAGGAGGCAAGAGCATACAATGGAATCAAGACAGTCTCTTCAATAAATCCTGTTGGGAAAATTGGACAGATACATGCAAAAGAATGAAATTAGGACACCAACTTACACCATACGCAAAAAATAAACTTGAAATGAATAAAGGACTTATCCGTAAGATGGGAAACCATAAATACTAGAGGAACCCACAGGCAGCAAAATCTCAGACATATGCCACAGCAATATATTCACCGATACAGCTCCTATGGCAATGGGAACTAAAGAGAAACAAATGGGACTACATCAAAATAAAAAGCTTCTGCACAGAAAAAAAATCAACAAAACTACAAAACAACAAGAAAACCCATTTCATGGGAAAACATATTTGCCAATGTTATCTCTGATAAAGTTTTAATCTCCAACAAAAAATGGGCAATGGACATAAATAGATACTTTTCAAAAAAAGACATATGAAAGCCGAGAGACATATGAAAACATGCTCAAAGTCACTAATCCTCTGAGAGATGCAAATCAAAATGACAACGAGGTATCACCTCACACCTGTCAGAATGGCTCATCAACAAATCAACAAATGACAAGTGGTGGTGAGGATGTGGAGAAAGGAACCTTCATGCACTGCTGGTGGGAATGCAGATTGGTGCAACCACTGTAGAACACCAGAATGGAGTTTCCTCAAAAAACTAAAAATGGAACTCCCATTTGACCCAGTGATCTCACTACTAGGAATATATCCCAAGAAACTAGAAACACCAATCAGAAAGAATATATGCACCCCTATGTTCATAGCAGCACAATCTACAATAGCCAGAATTTGGAAACAGGCTAGGTGCCCATCAGCAGATGATTGGATAAAAAAACTATGGTACATCTACACAATGGAATACTATGCTGCCATAAAAAAGAAGGAATTCTCATCATTTGCAGCAACCTGGATGGAATTGGAGAACATCATGCTGAGTGAAATAAGCCAATCAATGAAAGAGAAACACCACATGACCTCACTCATTTGTGGATGATAAAGAACATTATAAACTGATGAACCAAAAGATAGATATAGAGACAGTATATCAACAAGTAGACTGTCAAATTACAGCGGGGAGGGGAGGAAGATCTGGGGGAGATAATAGATCAATGGAAGGACTTTTATACATGCATATAAGTACAACCAATGGATACAAAACTCTGGTGAGGGAGGGAATGGGTGGGAGGGAGGGGGGGGGAAATCAATAAAATATATTAAAAAAAAAAAAAAGTAGAAACTCTCCATTTTCTCAATACCAAGTGAGTAATAGGGATTAAGTTTTCAAAGACTATGTACATCATAAAGGCTTAAAATACTTAGTTCACAAATTAAGATTATTAAAATCAATGTAATTGTCTTCATTCTCATTTCATTCAATAATTTTAATATATGCATTTTAGAAATTTCTCTTTCAAAGATCAACATATTTTAAATCGCTATTGAAAGGTTTTTATTAAAGACTGAAATTACATAAAACAAATATTTCCCAGAGTCACACATTTTTGTGTGTGTGTGTGTGTGTGTGTGTTCCCATAAATTAGAAGAGTAAGGTAGCAAAGTGTATTAGGGACAAACCTGGGAGCCAGTGACTTGGACAAGAAGATGTATTCATGTTTGCAGAAAACAGCTGGATTCACATTTACTGCATATGCTTTTTAAACTAATTTTTTATGAATTGAGGAATCTAAGGAGTTAGAATTCAAGTTAAGGGTCAAGCAAATTCTGATGTATTGGCCCACAAAGTTCAAACTGCAAGGTCTAAGGTTTTTCTTACCACCAACTAATATGCTCTACACTACAGCCTAGGGCATCTTGGAGCTTCTCCACAATTTAGGGTTAAGAGCATTTTTCATCCACAGAAAACCAGCTGTGCATTGTAATGATGTCGCCTATCAGAAGACATTGCTTGTAGTAAGGCAGGGTAGTAAGAAGTTAGGAAAATTCCTTGGCAAGTGGAATGGGGCAAGTGAGACAGATAGCTGAACAATGTACAGCCAGATAATATCGGATAAATCACAAGGTCTTATTTTCCCTAACCAATGACACTTTGGAGCAAATGGTTTACCCATTCCAGACTGTGCCCTGTCAGACCCACCTTGGTCCTGTCCCTCTTCAGTGACATTCTTAGAAGGTGAAACTGACCACAGAATGACCCTGACCCCCCTATACCCTCATTATGATGAATCAGCATTGAAGGGCACACCTGGGAAACTGATTAATATTCTTACTAAGATCCTCCTCTGAAACTTACCCTAAAATTCCTGCCTTTAGAAAACATAAAAACCCTCAAGATGAAGTAAGCCAGCGCACTATTCTTGGAACATGCCTGTGTCCCTCTTCCCTATTATGTACTTTTCCTCTCTTTCTTCTAAACTCTAAAGGTCCCCAGAGAGACTTGCATCAGCAGAAAGTGACAGCTCCTCTCAGGATTTCCCCCTGAACCTTTCTCCAAGGCCTCCTTTTCTCTGAGTTTTCAATGAACTAAAAGCATCCCTGCCTTGGCTCACTTCTATCACTGTGCCGTTTACTTCTAGTGAGTCCATGTAGCCCCCATGTTGCTCACTTCTTTCCTATAATGTTTGTGAGGCCAAAGCAGCACTTCCTAGGCTGTTCTGTTGTTTCTTTCTATCCTAAGCCCTTCCTTTGTTTCACAGTCCTCAGCTTAAAAAACATATTCTCCAAAATCACCTGGACTCATGCTATGAATTCTTTCCTGAACTAAGTCAGGAACCTGCACACTGCAGGCCTGAGGCAAACCTCTCATTCAGGGCCCAGTCCCCTTCCGGAGATAATAGAAGGTCAATTATCCTTGAAATTTTTATTTTATCTGGCAATTCTGA